CCTAACTGAATAATGCATTTTTCTGGTATTTTTTTAGATCAAATTATTGGTTTCTGTCCTATTTTTCCATACATCATTTGTTTATATTATATATATTTGTACATATGCATAACGTCACTGTTTCCATACACTTTACTCGTGCATATGGTGTTCTCTTTTGCATTAAGATTTTATTGTGTTTTAAATTGTCTTATCTCATATTTTCGTGGTTTAGACAATTAGTTTCATTTGTATAGAATCTTTGGATTGCTGCATTTATGTGTTGACATGTTTCTTCCTTTTCTTAAATTTAAATTTAAACTTAATCCTCTCTCCTTATATGCTTGCATTTTATCTCCCTTGATTTTGAACGGTCAAATTGTAATTACTTTGAGAAAGCATGGATCATTGATATTTCATTTTCCAGGTTGGTAATGAAGAAAGGATTCATGTATACTATGCACATGGCCACGATAATACAACTTTCGTTCGGAGGAGTTATTGGCTGCTTGATAAGTATGTAATTTATTCTATAAGTTAACCTAGCTTATGTAGTCTCTACATTGCCAGATATGAAAAAAAAAATCATTGAAACTCTTTCTCTTTATTTCAAGTTGCTGTGGGTCTTAATGTTGATCATCATTGGCCTGATCTTCTATTAATTGCTTCAGGAATCTGGAAAACATAGTTCTTGTTCACTATCGCGAAACAAAGGAGGTTGGTGTTAAAAATGAAAAATTGGAGACACAGTCTCCAAATATTTGCATTTTGTTATTTTCTCTATGCCGCGTAATCAGATAATGACCTGACTGACCATTGTTGATTCATGGTAAAGTTGCAGGGTTCTCCATCCACACATTTGAATTTGAATTCCTGTTTAACTGATCAGTCTACTCCTTTGCTTCTTACAGAGGAGTTTGATTCTGGAGCTACTGATGCATATTATGCAGGTGAGTTGAATTTTCTAGAAATTAAACTGTGTAAATCAATAACGGAATTGTATTTGAGTAGCAAAAAAGAAAAACTCGCTAACAGCATCTCTTTCTTGCAATGTTTTTCTGCTTATAAATACATTGCCTTCTCATCCATTGCTGTTCTGGAAAATGAACAGATCCCAGTGAAAGAATTAAGGCAAATCACGAAATGACTCTTCATGAGATTAATACGCTTGAATGGGATGAGCTTCTGGCGACAAATGATACTAAGGGCTCAATTGTACCTATTGGAGGTAACATACTAGTTTATAGTTTAAGTAGGACCCCTAGTCTAATTACTGAATTATTAACTTAATTTGCTGTGATGGCAGACAAGAATTCTACTTTCTTTGACCATTGGAACCAAAAAACAGTTAATGGCCTCTCATGTGATGTAAGAAACTCAGTCCAAAGCTCTTAAGTTCTTATTTCTAGATTCCTCTTGTAGAAGACATCATTTTATTTATTTCTGTCATTCTTCTTTGTTTAACTGACATGACAACTAGCTTTGTTCATCTTTTTAGGCTAAAGGAGTTTATTGTATCTCATCTTATCTTAGCAAATAATTTTCTGCATGCATGTATTACAAAAGAAATCATGTAAGTTGTGCAGAAGACAGAAAGTTAACAGATCTAGTTTTGAACTTATTTTAGATCTCCATAATGTTTTATATATGATACACTTCGATAGACAAATATGTGTTATTGCATAGATATATAAATTTTGCATGTGGGGAAGCATCTGCTTGCGGTGTCTTCATATCCATCTACTATTTTGGGATGTTTTTCTTCATTTTAGTTTGACACTAAGTCATCATTTCTCTTATTATGAAGATCAATTAAATACTCTTTTTCCCCCTTATTTTGTACTACTCTCTTAATGCTTGATAAATAATAACCACTCAAGTTGCTTCACTTTTGCAGGTTGGCCCCATCCATGCCGATAATTCATCAACAGATATTTCATTGCTTGACAATTTGGCTGAGCCAGTTGCTCAGAGTAACAATGCTTACCTCAACAACCCTGGGGCTGTTTATTATCAGATATCAGGTGCCCAAGTAAATTCTAACGTGCAGAGTGAAGACTCTGGTGCCATAGGGACAGTTGAACCATTGGACCTTTTGGTCAATGGTGGCTTACAAAGTCAGGACAGTTTTGGAAAGTGGATAAACAACACTTTGACTGAATTACCATGCTCAATGGGTGATCCCGTGTTAGAATCGTCGAATTCATCTGGACATGATTCATTCACCTCGCAAGAGCAAATATTTAGCATAACTGAAGTATCACCTGCATGGGCCTATTCAACTGAAAAGACAAAGGTTTTTCTTTTTTCTCTGAAGTTCTCTCCACCCCCACCCCCAAGTTTTCTGGTTGTTAGGAATCACCTTTTCCGTTGCTGCTGCAACGATTAGTACCTTTGCATGGAACGGATGCTTGAAAACTATTCACCTTAATAACATGCATGCATTTTGGTTGTGTTAATGTGTTGACAATTGAAATTTATTTACCTATTATTTTTGCAGATTTTAGTCACTGGAGTCTTTCATCAAGCTTATCAATATCTTGCCAAGTCCAATTTGTTTTGTGTATGTGGTGATGTATGTTACCCGACAGAAACTATTCAAGTTGGGGTTTATCGCTGTTTGTTATCACAACATACCCCGGGATCTGTTAAGCTGTATATGAGTCTCGATGGACGTAAACCCATCAGCCAAGTTCTTAGTTTCGAGTACCGTGCTCCTTTGTTGCATGACCCAGTAGTTCCTCTAGAAGATGAGTCCAGGTGGGAGGAGTTCCGGTTGCAGATGAGGCTTGCTTATTTGCTCTTCTCAACTTCCAAGAGCCTTAATATTCTATTGGGTAAAGTGTCACCAAATTCAGTGAAGGAGGCTAGGAAATTTGATCAAAAGACTAGCAACATATCTAATAGCTGGACATATTTGATTCAGTCAATTGAAGCAAAAAGAGCTTCATTTACACAAGCAAAAGAAAGTTTATTCGAAATTGCTTTAAAGACCAGGCTAAAGGACTGGCTGTTGGAAAGAATAATCGATGGTAAGAAAACAACCGAACATGATACTCAAGGTCAAGGAGTGATTCATTTATGTGCCATTCTTGGTTATACCTGGGCTATTTATCTATTTTCCTGGTCTGGCTTGTCACTTGATTTTCGTGATAAACATGGATGGACCGCTCTTCATTGGGCTGCATATTACGGCCGGTACATGATCTTATTTCTCTCCTGTACTTTGTTTCAAGCAGCTTTGAGATATTCATCTGATTTCGAAAACCTTCCATTGCAGGGAAAAAATGGTTGCTGTTCTTTTATCTGCTGGGGCAAAGCCAAACTTGGTGACAGACCCCACAACCCAAAATCTGAGTGGTTGCACGGCTGCCGATCTTGCATCTTTGAATGGTTATGATGGACTAGCTGCTTATCTTTCGGAGGAGGCTCTGGTTGCACAGTTCAATGATATGGCACTAGCTGGGAACGCTAGTGGCTCTCTCCAAACCAGTAGAATAGAGGCAGCAAACCTTGTTAACCTCAAGGAAGATGAACTATACTTGAGGGAAACTTTAGCCGCTTATAGGACAGCGGCTGATGCGGCTGCACGTATAAACATTGCTTTCAGAGAGCAGTCCTTCAAAGCACAAGCTAAAGCAGTTGAGTCTCACAATGCAGAGGATGAAGCAAGAAGTATAATTGCTGCTATGAAGATTCAACATGCCTTTCGCAACTATGATGCCAAAAGAAAAATGGCTGCTGCTGGCCGCATCCAGTATCGGTTCCGTACTTGGAAAATGCGTAAAGATTTCCTTAATAAGCGTCGCCAGGCTATCAAAATCCAAGTAAATGATGTCCCCTTTCTTCTTACTGATTGTGTTTGCGTGTATTATATCCAACTTTTTATGGTCATTGCATGAAAATTTAATTGCAGGCCGCTTTCCGGGGCTTCCAAGCGAGGAGGCAGTACCGTAAGATTGTATGGTCAGTCGGTGTACTTGAAAAAGCAATTCTGCGATGGCGACTAAGGAGAAAAGGTTTTCGGGGGCTAGAAATAAACACAGAAGCAGCAGTTGAAGAGCAAAAGCCAGAATGTTTCACAGAAGAGTCATACTTCCAAAACAGCCGAAAACAAGCCGAAGAACGTGTCGAGAAAGCTGTTATACGAGTTCAATCTATGTTCCGTTCAAAGAAAGCACAGAAAGAATACCTGAGAATGAAGTTGGCTCATGATCTAGCAACGGTATGTGAAATTGTCTGAAAGAAGACTTCTCTATCTTGTACGTCAATTTATATAAACCTCCTTCTGTTTCATCTTGCAGTTGGAATACGAAAGCCTTCTCAGCCCTCTTTCCGATATAGAGCTCAAAGACAGTAGAAAGTAGAGGATCAAGGAAAAGTAGAGCCTAGGGACGGGGTAGTTCCGTATGTATATTAGAACATAAAGATTAATCTACCTCTAAAGTACGGCAACTCTCCGTAAAACCGGAGCACATATGTTGTAGGTATCTAGTTTGATACGAATAAATCTTACTCTAGAATTAGGTTAACATTTGGCGAATGAGTTTGTTAGCTAACCTGTATGTATGTGTGTATGTATGATGTATAACTATTTTTCTACGAAACTCGATTCAACACACATGATAGTTAATAACTTGACTCACAAAGACAACCAAATTTTCATTATTTTTCTAATCCAACCTGAACAGGGAAGAAGAAATTTATCTATCAAATAAATAAAGATGGCATGTCTCATATAACCCAAAAAATATTGATTTCGGCTTAACAGTACAAAAAAAGAGGCAGGTATAGAAAGAGAGAGCAATAAAATCCTTTGAATCCTCTACTTAATATATTGAGAGACCCACTCGAAGCCGTCACAGTATCCCATTTTTCGAACAATGCTGCACATAAAAACCTCAAGGGGTCGAACACTGGAGTCTGTAAGATTGACCTTACCCTTGCCGGTTGTGAAATTGTTGAGCCCAAGATGATAGCGAAGCTCGTCCTCTGAAGCTGCATAGGGAATGTCGATCTTGTTGCCTAGAATTAGAAAAGGAACATTGGCCAGTGACTCATCCGAAAGTAGGGCATCTAATTCCCTCTTCGACTCTGCAAATCTTTCCTTGTCGTAGGCATCCACCAAGTATACCACCGCATCAACCTGCTTGCCACATTAAGGTACAATTCTTCAGCATCATCATTTCACATATAATGCTTGCAAGGACTTGAATCAACCCATGGACAGATCTAGTCCAATGTGTGTAATTACGATTTTTCTAAAATTTTCAAAATATTTCGAGGGTCCGAATTTGAGCTAGACATGAGTAGTTCAAAGCAAAACAAAGATGTGGTGTATAAAAGAATGCAAAATCAGCAGAAGAAATGAAAACAAAAGAAAGGAATTTGCAAAACAAGATGATTATAAGCTGTTAGGTTATAATTAGGAGTCATCAAACACGATAGTACGATAATTAACTTGAAATGGGCGAATATTTTTAGAAAACAATGAGTAAAACTAAGGATAATTTCTTCCCTTTCGAAAAAAAGGACATCGAAAACAGCTGATCATAAATTCTCCAACACACAGTAATAAATGTATGATTGTTTATATCAATGAAAAATCCATTGCTGATATTTTCCACCCATGAATCAGATGAACACCATGGAACTTTTGTTTGTGATTGTAAGGGCAGACTTAGCCACAAAATAAAACCAAATTGATTACTTGGAAAATGATTCAAGCAGATCAGAAAACACAAGAAAATCAGAAATATTTGTAAATTCAAGAATCAGAAGAACAAAAAACTAAAAAACTGAAAAACAAAGGAAGAAAATCTAAATCTACAATTGATAAGCTCTGAATCAAAATCATTGTTCTTTCTAACCAAAGATTCAATAGATTGCAAATCTACCAATAGCCAGATTCAGTCCCATAATTTATCAATATAAATCATGAAGAAAATGAAGATCTAACAAAATCAAAAACCCATTTTCATAAATCAAAACAAAATATCACCTTAGCATAGTAATCTTTCCAGACAGCGAGCGATTTGGTGCCCACCCAAATCGAAAGCTTTGAACTTGATTTTGCCTATACTTAATTCCTCAGATGTTGGGTGCTGAGGTGGTTGATGTTGAACTAATCTCTGCAAAATTACCATATCCAATCACCATTGATTGCAAAAAAGAAAAACCCATAAAAAATGGAAATTTTGTTTACCTCATCTTTCAACATGTGAAGGAGAATAGTCTTGCCGGCATTATAAAGTCCCAGAAACAGAATCCTGGCTTCTTTTTGGCATAAACCCAGAGATGCAAGAATTTCATAAAACCCAGGATGGCCGAGTGATCCAAGGCGCCAGACTCCAGTTCTGGTCCTCGTGAGAGGGCGTGGGTTCAAATCCCACTTTTGACATTTCCGCCTGACGGGTAGACTGCTTATTTTTTCAAGGTGACCTGGATATTGTGAAGGATGATTTTCTAGCTGCTATTAGAGAGTTCTTTCAGACTCGATCTCTCTTTTTTGTTTTTAATGCTACAACAATTGTGTTGGTTCCTAAGTCTCCTAATACCAGTATGGCTAGGGATTTTTGCTCTATTTCTTGCTGTTTAGTAGTATATAAAATTATTATTGGTATTCTTGTAAATCGCTTGGCAGGTTATTTTTCGAATATGATTTTATCAAATCAATATGTTTTTATTAAAGGGCGTAGCATTATTGATAATAATTTGTTAGTTCAGGAGATTGTTAGGGGATATTCCTGTTGTTCTCTTTCTTCTAGGTGTGTTGTTAAAATTGATTTAATGAAGCCTTTTGATTATGTTAGTTGGGATTTTTTGATGAAAGTGTTTGCTTTTTGGGGATGCCTGAGGTGTTCAAGGTTTGGATCAAAGCTTGTATTATTGGTGTTCAGTTTTCTGTTGCTTTTAATGGGAGTTTAGTGAGTTATTTTAAAGGGAGAAGGGAATAAGGTAGGGTGACCTGTTGTCCCCTTACCTTTTTGTTGTAGTCATGAATGTACTTTCTCATTTGTTGAATGTTGATGCTAGGGATGGTTTATTTCGTTTTCATCTTAAGTGTAAGATAGTGTCTCTTACACATCTTAGTTTTGATGATGATTTGCTTATTTTTTGTCATGGGATTGAGGATTCGGTCCTGGGGTTGTTGGGATTCTTTTGGTGTTTTATGAAATGTCTAGATTGCAACTTAATGTGGGAAAGTCTGAGCTATTTGCTTGTGAAGTGCAGGAGCATGTTTTGTGTAGAGTGCATGCTGCCACTGGTTTTAAGTTGGTAAAACTTCCTGTTCGATACCTTGGTGTGCCTTTAGTTACTAGGATATTAACTGTAAATGACTTTTTCCTTTGATTTATAAGATTAAAAGCAAGTTGAGTTTGTGGTCTAAGAGGAAATTGAGTTATGGTGGTAGGCTACAACTTATTCAGTCTGTTTTGTTTAGTATTTCAATTTTTGGTGTGGGTAGTTGGTTTTTTCAAAGGAGGTTATTCGGCAGGTTGAGCAGCTTTGTATGAGATTTTTTTGGAAGGGTGATGACTTGTCAGCTAGGGGAGCTAGGGTTAACTGGTAGCAAATGTATTGGCTAAAGTCTGAGGGGGTTTAGAGTTGAGGAGCTTAGTTTGTTGGAATAAGGTGTGTTGTTTTCTTTTGATTAAGAATATTTTAGCTAGTGCTAGTTCCCTTTGGGTGGCATGGGTCAAGGAGTATGTCTTGAAAGGGATTGGTTTTTGGGATGCTAGTTACAAGCCTCAATTTAGTTGGATATTGAGAAAGCTCCTTAAGCTTAGGAATGAGGCGACTGGACTATTTGCTAATGTGGAGGATTGGGATGTGGTGAAAAGCAGTTGCGTTTGGGAGAGAGTTAGAGATAGGAGGGAGAAGGAACTGTGGGAAAATCTTCTCTGGTTTCCTTTGCATATCCCAAAAATATCAATTGTTGCTTAGATGGTTATTTTAAATAGGTTGCCTACTAAAGACAGGCTCATTCGTATGGGGTTGGAATCGGATGGGAGTTGTGGTCTTTGTGAAGATGGGTTGGAAAGCAAAGAACATTTGTTCAATGACTGTGTTTTTGCTGGTGGAGTCTGGAATAGAGTTATGCATGCCAGTAGGTTGCCTTCTAGGTCATTGTGCTGGAATGAAGCTTTGGCTTGGGCAGTTACTAATTTCAAAGGGAAGTCTTTGCTTGTTTGTATCTTGAAGGGAAGAGCGCAATTTTAGACGTTTTAGGGGATGCTCTCGTTTAGTTGAATAGATCTTTGAATGCATTAGGATGATTGTTTGTGCTAAGTTACATGGTTGTAGTATTAACAAGCTTGATAGGGTTAATTTGCAGTTTTGTCTTGATTGGGAAATTTGCTGATTTTAGTTTCCTTTGCTGATGGGCTTATAGTGTTGCTATTTTGGCTGCTTAATTGTTGAGGAGTGTGGTTCCTTGTGGACAAGAGGTTCATTGAAAGACTCATTATACAGAGTTTGCTTTTTTATTTTTAATTCTGCTGAAAAATTTTGTTTTTTACATGTTTATATTCTGTTTTTTTTATTTTGGTATGAGTTGGTTTTTGGATATGTTTGTTCTTTAGTTTGGTGCCTAGCAGGGTTGTATACTTGGTGGTTCTTTTGTAACAGGTGTTCCTGCTTTCTTTTGGGTAATAAAATTGAAATTATCCACACATAAAAATCTTTTTTCCTTGCTTGATTGCAAAGGCAGATCCAAAGTTTGGATCTTTAAAGGGGGAAAGAAGAAATAAATGTATGTGTCTAAGATTTGTCAGAATTAAGAGATGTTGAATTGAAGAGGATGTGAAAGAATACCAATATATATATATATAGATATATATTATTTTCCAGCTAAGGAAAGAGTTACATACATTATTGCATTCCACAGCTCAATCACCTCTATTGTTGATCACGTTACTGTTCTTTTTTTAAATTTAAATTTTAGGTCTAACTATCGTTTTAGTCCTTTCATTTAGGCTGAAATTTCATATTTATTGTTTTTATATTTTAGTTTCACATTCAGTAAATCTGAATTGACAATACCATTTGTTTTTATTGTAAAAGTGATGGTATAATTTTTTATATATTGTAATTGGTCATATATTATTAAGGATCATTTAAAAATTAATGACTCATGTTTGATCAATAATAAATTTATATGTCAATAAAAGGTTTAAATTGTTACAAAATAAAAGAAACGAAACAATAAAAAAAATAAGAAGAGTTATTGGAGTACAGAGAGAAATCTTATTATCTTCGTATGAGTTGTGTAGAAGATTTTCTCTAAACTTCGTATTTATATATATATATAGTTATATAGAGTAGATATCATATATAACTATAATTCTAATAGGTATTAAAGTCATAATAATAAATTACAACAAATTCATATTTAATACAATAGTATTCTTTTTTTAAATTAATCACTGGTATCCGATCTATTTATCGACTAATCCAAATCGGGTACTGCAGAGGCGAGGGCGACCCTCCCAACTCAGTATGTTCCATTTGCAAAAACTAGGATACAAACTCATGACCTTGCTTAAGGAACCTAGTGCTTCAATCTACTAGACCAACTGATTATTGGTTAAATACATAGTATTCTAATCATAGCAAATATATATATAAATAAATATTCACAACATTCTCTTTTAAAAAACGTGCTTCTTTTAAAACCATAAGTTAAAAAATCTTAATGAAGAAAAAGAAGTGTGCACATCTTTGATACGCACTACAGAAAATTTTAATAAAGCAAAATCATAGGGGAAAAAAAGAATACAACACATTTATTCTCGTCGTAATAATATCATTTTTGAGTTTTATAATTCAATATTATATATAATTTTTAAATGTTAAAATAAACAATACACTAATATATATATTTTTAAATTATCATTTGGATGTATCTTGGTATCCGCTAGGCTCAAGGAAAATGTAGTTGAAGTTTGTAGATACCGGGATAGGATCAAGATGATTAAGGTTATTATAGAAGCGGAAGTGGTGAATGTTCTTTTAGTGTACGCCCCACACGTTGGCCTAGGAGAGGGGGAGAAACGATGCTTCTGGGATTAGTTAGATGATGTACTTAGGAGCATTCCGGAAGACCAAAGAATTTTCATAGGGGAGACTTCAATGGCCATATATATAGTGCAACCGACGGGTATGACGATGTTCATGGGGGTTTCAGTTTGGTAGTAGGAACGAGGAGGGGCGTACATTGCTTGAATTTACTACTGCACACGGTATGATGGTCACTAACTCCTTCTTTAACAAGAGAGATGTGAACTTGATTACGTTCCATAGCGGGGGACATTGTACCCAAATCGACTACATCCTGGTTCGAAATCGGGATCGATGGGCTTGCATTGACTGTAAGGTGTTCCCTGAAGAGGCATGTGCATCACAACACAGATTGCTGGTTTTGGTGTTCCGCGTACGCTACAGGCGGAGCACTCATAGGACGACTAAACTTGGTAAACCTAGGATCCTTTGGAAGAATTTGCATGGAGCAACAGCTGATGACTTTAGGAGTAAGGTTTTGTCTAATACAGGTTTGGGAACTACAAACGCAAATAATGCATATATGTTATGGAAAAATATGGCAAATTCCATCAGAGAGGTGGGCAAAAACATCCTTGGGTTGTCGACAGGGAAGGTCAAGGAACATAAAGAATCGTGGTGGTGGAACGACGAAGTCCAAACTAAGGTGAAGACAAAGCAAACTTGCTTCAAGGAGTTTCTACAATGCAATGACGACGAAGAAAGATCGAGAGCTAAACAAAGATACAAGAAGGCAAAGCGGGAAGCCAAGAAAACAGTGGCTAAAGCAAAGGATATGGCATACGAGGAAATGTACAAGAGATTAGACACCAAGGAAGGACAAAACGACATCTTCAAGCTTGCAAAAACCAGGGAAAAAGATCTAGGTAGCATTAGGTTTATTAAGGACAATAATGATGTTCTTTTAGTTAAAGATCATGATATTAAGAGGGTTTGGGGTAGTTACTTCTATGGCTTATTTAATGACGGTGCCTCTCCCTGTAGATATAGTACCGTTGATGGGTCAGCCGACCATCATACTACGACCAATGACTACCCTACAAGTAAGATTGGGTTTGAGGAAGTCAAAATGTCCCTTAAAAAGATGGGGAGGGACAAAAGCTATCAGACCTGATCAAATTTCTATCATTGTGTGGTTGGCTATAGGAGAAGAGGGAGTAAAGTGGTTGACCAACATCTTTAATATTATTTTAGAGACTGCCAAGATGCCAGAGGAGTGGAGAGAGTCTACGGTGATACCAATCTATAAGAATAAAGGAGATCCCCAACGTTGTGGCAACTACAAAGGTATTAAACTACTCAGTAATACCATGAAGCTATGGGAAATGGTGATAGAGACTAGGTTGAGACAAGTTACTAGGGTTTCAGAAAACCAATTTGGCTTTATGCCAGGCAGGTCTACTACGGAGGCGATTCATCTACTTCGACGGCTTATGGAGAAATATGGGGGAAAAATAGAGATCTCCACATGGCGTTCATTGACCTTGAGAAGACGTATGATAGCGTTCCTTGCAATGCGATCTGGAAGACCTTGGTAACGAGACGGATCCCAACTGCTTATATCCGGGAGATTTGTGATATGTACTGTAGATCTACTACTTATGTCAGGACTACAGTTGGCGACACCGAGACATTCCGGGTGGAAATCGGACTCCACCAGGGGTTGGCTCTTAGCCCTTACATCTTCGCCTTGATTATGGACTACATCTTTTGTGCGACACCAGACGGGGTCCCATGGTGTATGCTTCTCGCTGATGACATTGTCCTAGTTGTTGAAACAAAAACTGAGCTGAATAATAGACTGGCTACCTAGAAGAATGCTTTGGAAGAAAAATGTTTAAGGATCAATATTGAAAAGACAGAGTATTTATGTTCAAACTTTAGTGGGAACCAAAACAATGAAGATGTAGAAGTATGCATAGAAGGACACATTCTCCCCTCAAAGGATTGTTTTAAGTACCTAGGGTCTATGATACATAAAGATGGGGGTGTAGATGATGATGTTACACACCGTATAAAGGCGAGATGGCTAAAGTGGAGGGCTGCTACTAGAGTTTTGTGTGACAAGAAGGTGCCTCTAAAAATTAAGGGAAAATTTTATAGAATGACAATAAGACCAGCGTTACTGTATGGATAAGAATGTTGGGCAATCAAGAAGGATCACGTTAAGAGGATGGAGGCCGCAGAAATGAGAATGTTACGATGGGCATGTGGTAGGACTCTGTGGGACATGACACTAAACTCTGCTATTAGGATGTCCTTGGGGGTGGTGTATGTATCCGAAAAATTAAGGGAGGGAAAACTACGGTGGTTTGGACATGTCCTTAGGCGACAACCGTCGGATGCGGTCAGGAGGGTAGAGTCGATTACAGTCGACGATTGAGATCTGATTTTAAAGATTTAGCCCTTACCGAGGACATGACTTCTGATAGGAAACTATGGAGACTTAAGACCAGAGTAGCCGAGTAGTACGGTTCACAGCCATAGGGTGTAACATCCCTGTCTTCTTTTTATTGCCTTTGTAGTAATTTACATGACTTCTACTTTATTTACGTTTTTGACATTGGAATTTTTGAAGGCTTAGAACTATGGTAGCGGACTAGTATTGCCTTAGTTTAGGTGTCAACCCATTTGACTTTATTTCTTCTAGTAGCTTGCTATCGTTGACTTCTGTGTATCCTTTGCTTCAGGTTTCCTCTTTTTAAAATTAGTCGGATCTTACGTTTCTCTCTATATGCATATATTTTTCACAGGGATTTATTTGCAGGGATTACTTCCCATTACATACGCGCATATGTAGATTGCATATGAAGTTTTGTCAACTATGTATTTATTTGTTTATTTATTTATATTTTTATATATACATGCATTGCATTTTATCTTTATTTTTAATTTTCTGATTGTCGGAGGTCTTCCACGGAAGCTGCTCTCAACCTGGCGTTGGGGGCAGCCTACTACCCTACCTCCCCCTTACCTCAGTGCATATGAGAATAGGATTTTATTGTTGTTGTATGTATTCGTAAAATATTTTTAAATTATCATTTGGATGTATTCGTAAATTTTTTTTAATTTTATTATTCTTTTGAAGATCATGAGAGATAAAATTTTTTTTTAAAAAAATATTATTTTTATATATTTTTTTATATAAATTAGAAAGAATAAACTAATTTATCTTAGGTTAGTTTGCACATGTCGTTTAAATCACTGCAAATCTCCACTGCACCCGATGAACATCAGCAAATCTAATAATTATTCTATAAATTTTAAATTTTCGATAATTAAAAAAATATTGTTAACATAATTTAATAATTATTTATATATTTTACATAATAAAATTATCAGAATTTAAGCCTAATATGTGAACTAAAGGCTTTAAGCCGACTCCCGAAAAAGGCCGAGACGTGCATTTTCATCATCAATTGATTAATTAGGGTTTCGAACTTCCTCCAAATAAAAGGGCCAAAGTTTATTCTTTATTTTTTTTCTTATTTCATCCACAAAAAGAAATTATTTTCAGAGCCGCAGCTTCGTCTTAGCCTCAGGTTTGTGCTACTATCTTGGATCCATTTTCTATGAAGAAAGCGATAAATCATTTTACAAATCACATTAACATCGCTTGTTTTCGTTGGTATTTTTGGATTTGGGTGGGCAGAGATGGCGAAGTCAAAGAATCACACCGCTCACAACCAATCTTACAAGGCTCACAAGAATGGAATCAAGAAACCCAAAAGGCATCGCCACACTTCCACCAAAGGGGTATCCTTTTTATTTATCTTCTAATCGATTTTTTTAATAAATTTGAATTTTTGATTTATTTTAAATAAAAATGCGGTTTTCCTCGTTGATGTATAGATGGATCCAAAGTTCTTGAGGAACCAAAGGTATGCAAGGAAGCACAACAAGAAAAACGGAGAGTCTGCGAATGAAGAAGAGTAAACTTTTATTGGCATAAGATCTATCTTTGATCAGTGTTTTCGCAATGGAATTGAGCTTTTGTTCTTCAACTATATCCGACTTTTAGTTGTATTTTTGTTTTGGGATTTTTTATTTTCATTGGTAGAAGAGATTTGACGCTATGAGCTTATTAATATCAAGAACATGTTGAGTTTCGGCTGCCCTTCATTTTCTTTTACTTAATATGTTCGACTATTAGTCAATTAATTTAGTTTCCCATAGGGTGAGTTTTATGATTTTCATTTTTATGAAGATGTTCATGTATGGTTTGAGTTTTATGAGCATGTCTAAGTATGAAGGATAGCATTGAAAATTTGGATTTTTAAGTTGTAGATGATGATGCACTGCCCAGAGGACAAGTTCTGTCATTTCCATTTTTAGATTGGAGAGATTCATGCTTGGGTTCTTATTAAGCATTATCTAGTAGAGTATCAAGGTATAAAGCCTAGAATTGTTGTTGAATACCGTCTCATGATCCGGGGGTTTTATTGGCGCTGGTGCTGCTGCTGGCCATGAATCGTAACTGTTGCTATTGAAGCCGGTCCGGGATAGTTCCGTCGAACAAACGAATGCTAATAAATTCTATGGTTTGAGAGAGGGATCAGAATTCATACTTTCTCCGGGAGTAATCAGAATTGTTTATGGCATGTTTGCTGGCATGAGTTGGATTATGTTTGGATTTAGGAGTTATTTATGGCTGTGGTATTGCCTTGAGTTATTGAACAATGATCTCTATTGAGAACTTGGATATAGCTAATTGTTCTGATGCTGAGCGTATCCGGCTAATCTTTGGAGTAAGAGAGTAATCTATGACCAGAGACTCCTAAATAAAACTCGGGTTCAATCGTTTGTTCCTAGTGCCGACTGCTGAGTAGGTGGAGAATTTTAATAGGGCTTGTTAAACCGAAACAATTTTCTCGATTAAATAACGTGTCAGGTCAAAACCTTCTATTAGTTATTGTATTATTTTAAAGTTATTGATTTATTTTTTGTACTTCAATTTAATTTTTGTATCCATGTACTCTTCAAATTTTAAAATCTTGATCCTAAATCAAACAACTTTAAAATATATCAAGTCGAAATCACTTATTCGTATATAAATCATTCGAAGTTATAGATTTTGTTTTTATTTTTTTAACATATCATTTTAATTCCATGTAACTAATCATATTATCCTACAATTAATTAGATCAATATATAAATTTTAAAAATATGAAACTAAAATAAGTTAATTTAAGTACATAGATTAAATTAATAAAAATTGACTTAACTTTTGATCATTGTAAGTGTCGCTGATGTAATTAGATAGGTAAGATCAATTTGATGAAGTTTGTTTATTTCGGTTGAATAAGGATTGGTGCTAAGGTAGGGATATTGAGAGGAGGATTGTTTTAAAAAAAAATTAAATTCTCATATAATAAAAGTATATTTTTATTAATAATTTGTTTTGTCCTCTAAAATCATGTAACTCGCTTTTCGTAAAATGTAAGGTCTTAATCGTTTGTTTTGGAATGCGAGGTTGAGAGGTCATTTTAAAAAAATTGATTGGGGGTTATTATGCTCATTAATTATTTGTGTGGGGTTTTAAAAATAGAAACTCCTTTAGAATTAGGGTAAATAAAACTCATTCACTCAGAAAAATTAAGGGTAAACTACCAAAATAGTCACTTTTCTTTAATTTTATATACTTTTTCTTACTAAATTTAGAAAAGTTAAATTTTGGTCACTTACGTTTTGTTTTATTAAGTTTTTATTGGTGAGAGTTAAATAATGGCGTGGCCTGTTAATAAAAGGGTTTCATTTTAATTTTAACCCTTAAATTTTAGATTAAGTACTAATATGGGTCTTCTAGTAAGCCAAAAATAGTTTAGGGATTTTATTCTAAATTTACGCCTCACTCTTGGTCTTCTCCTCCACTAACAATGTTGCTGGTTTGTTCCATCTCAACTTCGCAACTACTCATGATTTCCTCCAAGTTGTGTTAACATAGTTTGCAATTGATCTTTTGAAGAATAAAACGAAGATTTTGAGTTCATCCGTTTAAACACGAACCCCACTTTTACTTTCCATCCTATTATCTTCTTGCTTTTTTACCTTTCTCTTTCTAACATCAAAGCCTTAAACTTGTTAAGGTAATGGCCTTCTACGACCAAGCTTCCCTAGTTCTTCACCCCTTCGTAAATCGAAGCTCACTTCCATGGATTCACAGATGAGAGAGACAGAGTACAATGTAGCTCTATTTCTCCCTCTGAAATGAACTAAACCCACTCCTTTACCCATAAAGGCAGACAAGATGGTGCCAGGCAAATATAAATGCTATATATGTATATGTTTTCTTTCTTTCTTAAAAAGAATCTCACACTTTATTCTGTTGGGTTTTTGTGTCGGGGTTTTTGTGTCTTTCTCTTTCTTCGATGAGATTTTAAAGGTGGAGGAGGAGCGCACACATTGAAATGCAGAGGAAGAAGACAATGAGATGGAGAATCAGTTTTCATGACTCATGATGTTATTGTTGTTGTCTCAATGTATTTAATGGCCATGATGTACGTTTTTTTTCTTCCAATTTTTCATTTCTTCTATAATTTTTTTTTGTATTTCATTGTTCCATAAAAAATCAATTGCAGAATCACTTCATCTGTCCATGCATATAATTGAAAGGAAAGTGACCATTTCTGTAGTTTACCCAAAATGATAATCAGTAAAACGTATAAAAGAGTGAATTATTATTTTTATACTTCACCAGTTGGCAACCCCTCAGAGTTTAGGGGACATCTTTATGTGAATCTCCATCTTTATAGTTCAGATTTTGCATTAACCTTGTATTTCTTTTCTTCTCCATCGGCAATACATGGATCATTCCAAGACCACATTCTGTTTTCTTATCACTCTTTCACAGGTTTCCATTGCCTCCGATCGTATTTTACCTTCGACATTTTGTAATTTTCCGGCGATCTATAACTTCGGTGCCTCTAATTCCGATACCGGTGGCCTCGCCGCCGCCTTCATTCAGTTTAAGCCACCTAATGGAAATACCTTTTTTGGCATGCCGGCCGGAAGAATGTGTGATGGGCGACTCATCGTCGATTTCACAGCTGAGAGTTTGAAGCTTCCATTCCTAAGCTCCTACTTGAATTCACTGGCGATCAATTTCAAACATGGAGCGAATTTCGCGACGGCGGGTTCTACCATAACATTTCCGACGATGAACATTCTCCCCGAAGGTCGGACCAGTCCATTCTATCTAGGGTTACAGTGTTTACAATTTGCCCAATTCAAAATCAGATCCCAAATTATTAGGAAGCAAGGTAAGTCATTCTGCACATACATTTCCATTTTATTTTTATAATTTATTATTCTATTTAATGTTAAGTATTTTAAATATTTTTCAAAATATTAAATCATTAAAAGTTGTAAAAAGTTACAGGAAAAATTATAAAAATCATATAAAGTATATAGAACTAGAAAAATATAACATTATAAAAATAGTAAAATTAATTAAAAAATATTTAAAATGTATATTGGAGCAAGTAGCAAGCATTTGTTAGGAGATAAAAAAGAATTTCGATGACACACTTGAAAGTCATTCTCAACATGTTTTAAACGATATGCGAGTACCAGAGACTGAAGGTAGCAGTGACACCAACATGTTCTAATCGATGTTATTATTGTTTCATCCTTAATCTGTGTCATTGATATGTTGTTTCTTTGATAGGAGGAGTACATGCAAGTCTAATGCCATTGGAGGAAGATTTTGCAAACGCATTATACACTTTTGACATTGGCCAAAATGATCTCCTCAACGGCCTTTTACTTAACATGACCGTACCACAAGTTATCGCCACCATCCCCGACATGGTTTACCAGTTCTCAAAAACCATCAGGGTAACTTCTTTAAACATCCAATGACATAACAATATGGATGAATAGAGGGTGTTGGGAGCCAAGATTCTAGTTTAAGGGGAACAAAGCATTATTAACAACAGAAAATAAAGGCAAAATCAAAATAAACCAAAGCTTAAAGGTTAAAATAGGTACCATAAAGAAATTTTACACTCTTGATTTTCTAATATAAGCTTCTAAATTCATATTTCCTTACAAAAAATTGTCTTGTCTCCACATGGAATAAACTTAACATTAATTAACTCCTTGATTCATCAATGCATTGCAGGATCTATACAATTTAGGAGCGAGGTCGTTTTGGGTTTACAACACAAGGCCAATCGGTTGCTTTCCGTCAATTCTAACCATTTATCCAGCAGCTGAAAGAGACTCCGCCGGTTGTGCAAAGCAATACAATGAATTAGCTCAACGTTTCAATGCCGAGTTGAAGAAGGCACTGGCTCAGCTAGGTGTTGAGTTACGTTCGGCTACAGTTGTTTATGTCGACATTTACTCCGGTCTATACAGCTTGTACACTGACCCGATAAAAAATGGTAACAAAATAATAAGGCGGACCAAATTAATCTTCAATATTTACATAAATAGTCATTTTAGGTCATATTTTTTTCTAGAGTATTTTAATTGTCAAAATAATTCATGTTGGGTGAATACTGTTAGTCGACTAATAATCAATATATATTACTAACGTGATATTTTTATATGTGTTTAATTAGTGATGTAACACATATTATATTATCATTTCAAGTGATGTGACATTTATCATATTATCATTTTAATGATGTGATTTGTGTCATAACACATGTGAACATATTAAGTTAGCAACTTACATTGATCGTTAGTTAACTAATAATTGTATTCTAACATGAATTATTTTGAAAAAAAAATTAAATATTAAAAATTTAAATAAAAAATAGGAATCAAAATGATAATTTGTACAAAAATTGAGACCAAATAACACATTCTGATGTGACTGGTAACGGGTCCTTTTTTGGAATGCTTTTGCAGGATTCGAAAGTCCTCTTGTTGCTTGTTGTGGACATGGAGGAAAGCATAATTATAACGTAGGCGTTGAATGTGGACAAACCATCAGTGTAAATGGCATGGACATTAGGGCGGGATCATGCAAAGACCCATCAGTTCGAATCAGTTGGGATGGAGTTCATTTCACTGAGGCTGCTAATAAGTTTGCTTTCGACCTTGTTTCCACCGGATCTTTCAACAATCCGCCTATTCCTTTGAAACTGGCATGCCACCGGAGATGACCATCGTGTAGCATTAAGTTTCGGTTACAGCTATTGTTATGGTTTCCGTGTTGCATTTATGAGTGTTAAGGACGTTATGACGTGATTTATTTCAATGTTGGAAGAACCTTATTTTGATTTTATTTTGTAAACATTTTTATCATCCAAGGAAAACTACTACAAGACGATAAGAGTATCTACGAAAACCCGATACTCAATCAAGGAGACCTCAAACTATACAAAATTTAGCATTAATGTGATCAGTTCTCTCAAAAACCCTAAACCTTAAACCTAAACCTTAAACCATAAACCATAAAGATTGAAGCAAATTAGCTCTTTCAAAGAATAAAAAATATCAATTTCGGTCTTGATTGAACCCCAAATAATATCTTATTATGCTCCTCCTAGATACAGTAAATGAAGGCATTCCAAGTTAATTTAAGTAACAAAACAATGAGAGACTTACCTTTAAGGCATGAAACCGCACAATCCAACTCTTAATCCCAAGAAAGAATCAATATATCCAAATCGCAAAGAACAAGAATAATATTCCACCCCCTCACAAAAAAAATGCACATTAAAAAAAAAGATTTCTAAATTCGTTCACAACAACGCATAACACACAAACACTATTCACATTCATCCCCATTCTCAGTAACTTATCTTTAGTCGCACTGACAATACATAGATTTTTCCAGCACTACATTTTGCTTTTTCACTTCTCTTTTATATTGTTCCACCATTTTGAATTGTGTTTTTCCTTCATAAAGTTTTCATTTTTCGGCGATCTTAACTCCGGCAACTCAAATTTCGATACACCTTTTACGCCATGGATGGCTCCTCGACTCATCGTTGAATTCACTGATTCTTAATTTTTAGGGTAAAATACATATTTAATCACTCAACTATTCCTATAATTTTATTTTATTCATCTAATTATTCTTACAGTTCCATTTTAGTCATCCAATTATTTTTTTCAAAATTATCATTAAACTTATGTTTTGTTCTGTTTTGATCGGCTGTCATTAAAAAATAAACTGAACTGTTGACGTACAGATTTTTTATTTTTTTCAATGATGACATGTCATTATCGTATGATGATATGTTAGTATTATCGTTAATTTTTTAACAACGGATAACCAAAATGAAACAAAAACAAGTTTAGTGATGTTTTTTTTTAAAAAATAATTGAGTGACTAAAATTAAACTTCAAGAATAATTGGATAATTAAATATGTAGTTTAACCTAATTTTTAATTACCTCTCTATGTTTTGTTTCAATTTTAAGACAGTAATTCAACTGATTAGGTCAATCAATCACTTAAAGATCAATTTTTATAGCTTCCTATGAGTAACGATCAGCCAACCATCGCTGATGGCCCTGTTGCTTCCGTTCTCAGGCCACCAAATCCAGGAATACCCCATGACCCAGACATGGAGATTGAGACACCCACACCAGACAAGACTCCATCCTACGCCTCCATACTTGCTGGATCTTCAAACTGGAGATTGAGTTTGATGATGATTTCGATCTAAATGATGAAGATCTCACCATTGGCTGTTGTGATGCCATCCCTTCCATCCAATTTTCAGAACGCGCTTATCGGCTCGTGGAAGCTAGCATGTCAAGAACCATTGTGCTCAAGCTCTTAGGCAGAAACATAGGACTGCATGCTCTCACTGTAAGGAAATAAACCCAGTATGAGTAATTTCCCTATAACCAGATTAGTGAGTACGAAATAAAAGCGGAAAAATAATACCGAAAATTGATAACGGAGTTCAGCCAATTGTGCCTATGTCTCCGGACTGCTGTAGATCTTTTACTAAGAGAGAAAATTTACAGGTGTTTACAAAACACTCACTACTCACAAGAAAGCTCTCTAGTATTGGGAGAAAAAATGATTTTAGGATGATTTTGAAGCTAAATGAGTTAGGGTATTTATAGTTGAAACTTAGGGACTAATCTTTGAAAATACCCTAAAGTACAATAGCTAAAGTGAATTTACTCATTCCTATTTTCAACAAACATCTACCAAATTTTACCAAACTTTGAAAAACATTTTTCAAAGAAACATGTACCAAACTTTGAAAAACATTTTTCAAAGAAACATGTACCAAACTTTGAAAAACATTTTTCAAAGTTGGTTGCCAAACTTTGAAACTAACTTTTAACAATCTCCCACTTGAAGACTGATTTTAATTTGTCTTCACACCTCGATCAATGCAGCAACATTTCTGGTCTTGTTATTCTAACATGCCAAATGAAGCTGAACACAACTTCAGTTTTTCCGTAGTCACCGTCTTTGTCAATATGTCTTTCGGATTTTGAGCTCCACTAATCTTTTCAAGTTTCAAAATCCCATCTTTCAGAAGAGATCGGATAAAATGATATCTCAATTGTATGTGCTTCGTCCTGGAATGAAAAGACGGATTCTTTGCAAGATGGATAGCACTTTGACTGTCGCAATACAAGATATTGTTTTCTTGTTTCTTGCCTAACTCTTCCAAGAAACTTTGGAGCCAAACCATCTCCTTGCTGGCTTCCGTAACAGCGACATATTCTGCTTCAGTTGTGGAGAGAGCAACTATCTTCTGTTGTTGAGAAACCTAACTCACTGCAGTTACTCCTAGAGTATAGACATACCCTGTAGTGCTCCTTCTGATGTCAATATTTCCGTATAAGTCAGCATCTACATAGCCTGTCAGTATCGTATCTCCACCTTTGAAACAAAGCACTTTGTTTGTAGTACCCCGTAGATATATGAGGATCCATTTGACTACTTCCCAGTGTATCTTGCTCGGATTATTCATGTACTGCTAACAGCTCCCACTGCTTGAGCAATATCTGGTCTGGTACAAACCATGACATACATTAGACTTCCAATTGCTGAGGCATACGACACCTTCACCATGTGTGCACGTTCTTCCTCTGTCTTTGGTGACTGTTCTTTGGAGAGTCTAAAATGAACACCTAAAGGTGTACTTACTGGTTTAGTATCTTGCATGTTGAACCTAGAGAGTACTCTGTTGATGTACTCAGCCTGTGATAACATCAAAGTCCCCGACTTTGTGTCTCTCTTGATCCTCATCCCAAGAATCTACTTTGCAGCACCCAGATCCTTCATAGCAAACTACTTCGACAATTTTTGCTTCAAGTGTATAATCTCTTGCATGTTTGAGCCTGCAATGAGCATGTCATCAACGTACAACAATAAAATAATGAAGCTATTGTCGAACCTCTTGATGTAGCAACAATGATATGTTTGAAATCTGGTAAAACCACTATTACCCATGAAGCTATCAAACTTCTTGTACCACTGTATAGGAGCTTATTTTAAACCATACAAGCTCTTCTTCAACCTGCATATCATGTTTTTATTGTCTGCCTCTATGAAGCCTTCTGGCTGCTTCATATAGATTTATTCCTCCAATCACCATGAAGGAAAGCTGTCTTTACATCTAATTGCTCAAGATGTAAATTCTCTGCAGCTACAATTTTCAACACCAGTCTGATTGTAGACAGTTTTACGACTGGAGAGAAAATTTCATTGTAGTCAATACCTTCTTTTTGTTGAAAACCTTTGACAACTAATCTCGTTTTGTAGTGTTTGCTCCCATCGTGCTCTTCTTTGATCTGTAAATCCACTTGTTATGGAGTGTTTTCTTGCCTAGTGGTAATTCAGCTAATTTCCACGTCTGATTTGACATAAGAGAGTCTATCTCATCTTTCATGGAAGACTCTCACTTGACTGAATCCTCCACTTGCATTGCTTCATCATAGCACTCTGGTTCACTATAGTCAGTCAGCAACAAGTAGTGCAAAGAAGGCGAATAACGCTAGGTTGGTTTAGGAATTTGGAGGAGCGTCTCAGTTCTGGTATGCCTGGTTCTTCTTGAACTACTTCAGGATTGATCTGAACATTATTTCCAGAAATCTCCTCAAACTCAGCAAATTTATTTGTTTCAACTTTGGTATTGGAGCTACTTGATTCTATGGTTGCCCTGTATGTGTACATCACATTCTCATTGAAAATGACATCTCTGCTTCTGATGATCTTCGATTTTCATAGTCCTAAAACCGATAATCGAACTCATCACCGCCATAACCAACAAAGGCACATTTGTTGGACTTAACATAAGTTTACTTCTTTCAGCAGAATCTATGTGTACATAAGAAATACAACCAAACACTCTTAAGTGTGAAAGGTTTATTTCTTTCTTGCTCAAACTTCCTCTGGTATTTTTCCATCCAAAGGAACTGAGGGCCTACGGTTGATCAGGTAAGCTGCAGTGTTGATAGTTTCAGCCCATAGCATTTTGGGCAAGCCGGCATGTATCCTCATACTTCTGGCACGTTCATTCAGAGTTCTGTTCATGCGCTCTGCTACGCCATTCTGTTGCGGTGTCATGTGACCTGTTGTCTCCATCTTGATCTCATTGTTTGAGCAAAATTCTCTGAATCTTCTATTTTTGTACTCTCCTCCATTGTCAGACCTCAACCGCTTGACTTTTAAACCAGTCTCATTTTCTACTATGGCCTTCCATTTTCTGAAAGTATCAAAGACTCCTGATTTCTTTTAGAAAATAAACTCACACCTTCCTTGTAGAAACATCGATGAATGTGACATAATATAATGAGTATGTAAGAGATGGAACTGGAGATGGTCCCCACACATCAGTATGAATCAACTCTAACCTTTCTGCCTTGGGTGTCTTGCCAATCTTTGCAAAGCTAACTTTCTTTTGTTTGCCAAATATGCAATCCTCGCATAGTCCGACATCTACATTCTTTAGATCTGGCACTTCCCTTTTTACAAAAGTGTCTTCATCCCTTTTTCGCTCATATGGCCAAGCCTTTAGTGCCACAAGTTTGATTTTCCATCAGCATCTGCTACTGCAATGATATTCTCTAAATTTGATGTTACATAGAGAGTACCAGTCTTCTTACTACGAGAAATGACGAGTGCTCCTTTGGTAATCTTCCATTCACAGCCTGAAAAGGTTGTGCTATATCCTTCTCCA